CCCATCACTTTTTTGGTAGATTTTAGTGTATATAAACAGAAAATAATTTCAGTTTCAATATTTTGTAACCTTTTGCTAGGTAAATTTTAGCTTGAAATTTATCGAAAATCTAACGTACAGCTGCATTAGTGCATTACAATTAAATAGTGAACATTGCTTTCTGACTTCATTCTTTAACAACCCAACTAACAATATTTTTTCTGTTTCAGATTCTGATGCATTTATAAGTTGATAATATTTGCGATGGCTGCTTGTGTCAGGACGAGGAACCAAAAATCCAGCCATCTCAGTCACTATCTTGGGTCTGGGAAGAGCTCCTGTGAAGTCGAGTTTCATTGAGAGATGCTTTGAGATACGGTGTTTTAATCAGGCAAATCAGTGAAAAGAACCAAAGAACTTACACAAACAAAGACATTGCCAGTGATATGACCAAAGCTGTCTTGGCACAGTACACTCTGGCTAACGCTCAGTTCAAGCCTCCAGTCATAACAAGTCAGAAGAAGATTAGTGAGAGACTGCTAGCCAGTTGGAAAAAGGCAAGAGATATCTCTCTTGGGAGAGGAAAACTTGCAGTTAAGGACAACTTTGCCAAGCAACTGGACCAGTTATTTGACATAATTACTTGCGAGTGCCCAATTGTTTTCTGTCCTGAGCTTGGATGCGATCGTGACTGTAAATCCGAGGCCCACATCTCCTGTATTTGCAAGCGTGAACTGAAGATTCCTGTGATCGAACTGGCATTTGTCAAAGCACAGAGAGAGAAGACTGGCAGTATAGGGGCTCTCATGCTTTCTAGCCAAGATATTCCAGTCAAGGACAGGGAGACTGCCACAGAGAGACAGAAGGGAGAAAGAGCTAGAAAAGAGACTTGAGAAGGCCCAGGGTGAGGAGTAAGCCGATGTTGATTAAAGTCAAGCTGATTCAAGTTTAATGACTTCCCATGAGCTGATCCGAGGTGCCCAAAACAGGAGAATGGTGACTTTGTCCCCAACCCAGAAAATAATGATCCCAAACCTTCCAGGCATAAGATTCGAAATAGGAAAGATATCCCGAGCATAGCTCTGGCCAGCATGCGACACCACACTGGTCTCAGAGAAACTGCAGAGATAGCAACAGTTGCCTGGATTGACGGTGGTTTGATAACACCTGATGATGTTCACCTGGTGATAGATCATAACAAAGTAAGGAGAGCTCAGGAGAAACTTGTCAGTAACCTAGAAGGAGTTTGATAAGGGGATAAGAAAATGGAATCAATTGTTTTGATTCTTTGGGAGAAGGGATGACACTAAAGTGTTCATGAAAGTTGGAGATTCTGACAAGTTGTTCCCTGCCATGGTGAAGGAAGACACTACTCCTGCTGCAGTGAACCAGGAGGGAAGTATTTGTGGCATTTCACTCCAGAAAAATATGACATCAGGAAACCAGCTGAGATAGTGGCAGATAACATTGTGAACTGGCTCAGAGAGAAGAACGTAGACCAGACCCTGCAGGCCATTGGAGGGGACAGCACCAACACGAACACAGGGTGGCAAGGGGGGTCATACAGTGGATAGAGCGGAAGATTGGGAGGAAGCTGGTCTGGATTGTTTGTGACCTCCACACCAACGAGTTGCCACTCAGACATCTGATCCAGGAGCTGGATGGCAAGACTCTTTCAAACAACAGATGGTCTGGTCCTCTTGGCAAGATGCTGGACTCTGCCACTGAGTTAGAAATAAATCCAAGCTTTGAAAAAATCAGTTGGCCCTCCACTCGTTGAGCTTGCACATACTGTCATTGACGACCCTGAGTACTGACCAGTACTATGGTTACATAGGTTGCAGTGCCATCAAAACTGAAATTCGCACCTGATAGACTTGCCTTACCTGCAGATAGGCCCAGTCTCACATTCTAGGTCGCTCTGCGCGGCTCTCCAGGTTCTGCAGAATTTGGGTAGAAATGTCATAAACTGAAAGGGAACCAACTTCACAACCTGAGACTTATTGTCCAATTCATCGTGAGTGTCTACTTGCCAAATTGGTTCAACACCAAGGTCAAGTCATCGTTCTCCGAAGGTCCGGGGCATGTTCTCTTCCAGCATGAGCTCCTGAGGAGTCAGCCAAGGAAGGTTGTTCAGATTGTGGAGCAGACTGTGAGGAGATCTTCCTGGTATGCTCATCCCGAGGCAGTTCTGCAGACAATGCTCTGCAGTAAGGATGAGAGAAGAGTGGCAGTCAAAAAGATCTTGGATGTAGGACATAGAAGATCTGGGCATAGCCGGAATCAGTTGGTGACGATTCCTTCAGGGTCCAGGAAGACTCCTGAAGTCAATCTGGGTGCCAAGACCCTCTGATCTCATAGATCTGGATAACATCCCAGGCTGGCAGTGGCCCCTCTTACCTGCAGCCTCACCCAATGTTCAAGTGGGACTTTCCTGGACAACCCATGCATGTCCCTGCCTGGCCCTCGCACACCCAGAGTATAGAGCGTTGGGTACAGCAAGTGAGCGAGGCCAGCAGTCACGTGTACAGCCAGGAGAGGAGGGAATGCTACATCCGAGCTCAGGTGGTCAGCAGGAAGGTGATGAGTAGAAACAGAAGCAAGAAAGACATGTTCTCTATGGTGTGCAGCAACACCGGGTCGTAGTAGTAAAACCTGTTTTTGTATTTGATGATTTTGTTTTCTAAAGGAATAATAAATTTAATAAATGTGTCAAGATCATTCGTTTCACTATTCTGGATCATTTTCATCCTAATAAATTAACCTGATACATTTACTTTACTTTAAATAAGCTATTTAGTGGTGTTGGTAAAAGGGTGGGAATACTGAATTTTCATAAGATTTCAAGTTAAAATTTACCTAGCAAAAAATGAAAACTTTTCAAATCTGAAGATATCACATGATTCTGCACATAGAACTACATCATTAATACCATGGGCCGATTTTTCAAACTCAATAAAAAAAAATTCGCCTCCGTATGACACACCCTAGTGTGCCATAGCACTAACACTTTGTTAAAAAGAGGTCCAATAAGCCTGGGCTAGATATATGCTGATGTAAGTTGTAATGGTGTAGTAATAGTACATTTTATGCATTATTTTGCCTTTTTTTAACCTCGGCTTCGATGGTTCGGAATTTTCTCTAATCTGGAACCAGTCTAGTCCCAAGCTTCCCCGATAAGCGAGGTACAACCTGTATATTCTCATATGATCAGCCACTTACAGTGTACAGTATGTTTTTTCATAAGTAATACAACATTAAATAATAGAAAAAATATGATATACAGGCATCCATTACAGAATTTTACCCTTAAAATATTTTGAAATTATGACCAAAAATTTGGGGTATGGAATAAAAACTTGCCCATACATAATTTTTAAACATTAAAAAAAAATTGATTTTTAGCTCAAATTTTTGCCTCCCCAGTTGCCAGCAACTATCACAATAATGCCGCTGTTCAGTTGGAATTCTTTCCCTAGCTTGTGTTCAGTTATGCGTCTGTGTTTAGGAATGTATTTATCCTTATGGAATTATTAAGATTTTCAAAAGAAAACATTGCAACACAAAACAAAAAATTTCACAGAAATTTAAAAAAAAAAATTATTTTGCGTGGATTCTGGTGGTAGTTACAAAATGGTTGCTGGGCGGCTTGCCTCACCAGCTGGTAGCAGCCACAAAAACAATGGCGCTGCCCAGTTTGAATTCTTTTCCCAGTTTGTGTACAGTTATGTGTGAGTGCTATTTTGTATCCTTAATCAACAAGAGTATAAAGAGACCATCAAGTTCAAGTGAAAGTAGTGGCGATAAAAGATTCCCTAAAGGAACTGCGTTGAACAATAACTATGATGTTTTAAGGGGGTAATTCCCACTAACACCAATTGCACCACCTCACCTCACCTCACCTCACCACCTCCTGCAGCACTCAATATCATTTCTGGTAAGTAAAATTTGAGTGTTTTGTTCATTCTTTATCATGTTACATCATGAAAGACTCAGTGTACAGTGGAGTCTGGACTTACGCAGTTATGGTTAATGCGTTTGGTCATTTACGCGGTGCCTTGCCAGAATCGAAATGCTTTAATTACGCAGTAAATTTGGTCATTTGAGCAGGTGAAGTATAATTTGTTTACTGTATTTACTGAAGATATTTGTTTTAGCTCATAAAATTCATACAAATTACCCGGCCAGAATATAATTTACATTGCTGGAATTCTTATAAGATTGTGATTATTTTAAATATAAACATCATAAAATTTGCATTAGACATACAAATTTTTGATATAATTGAAGAATTTAGATTAGAAAGAGCAAAAATTTTATCTTTTGTGACAAAATATATGACGTTTATATTCAAAATATTCCTTGCCTTGCAAGGAATCCAGCAATGTCAATTATATTATCCTGACTTTAGTCTGAGGTATTATTTATTACTAAAAATGTAAGCCTACTGTTTTCACCCAAACATTTCTCAGAGAGGGAGGAGCCAGCGAGCGTGGGAAGAGGGGAGGGGGGAGGTTGAGTCCATTTTTGAATGCACATTAACCGGCGACTGTATTTCTCTTAAATATTAATTGTGTGTGCATACCATCATAAAATTAAGATGTTATTTTTACTACAACGTAGGTATTGTGTCTCTAATTCAATTAATCCCATATGTTCTGTTATTTCATTTACGCGTTTCTCGTTATACGCAGGCCTCCACGGGTTCAATTGACCGCGTAAATGCAGACTGTACTGTAGTTAAACAATCTTTGTAACTTATAATGCTTACTTGGATAAAAAGTCACAGCAGATTTGTTCTGCCCAATATTTTAAAAGAATGCAAACCCCATGCAGAGAGAAAGAAAATGTGTAGCTCTCTTTCTGGCTACTTACTGTACTATGATAAACTTCAGTGTCTCCTGCTATTTATATCTACAAACTTTCAATAAATACAGCTCATGTAAAACTTCTTCCATATTGTTGATGTTGGCATAATCAAGTTTTTATCACACTTCATGAAGTAATTTTGGAGCACTTACGTGAAACCATTGAGAAGTACAAGATGTTGAGGCTTGCTTGCATAGTTGTTCTTATTGTGGCTGGCTTGGAAGTCACCCCCAGCAGCATCAAATAAGCGGTAAAGTTCAACCAGCTTGTGGGCTGATACAACTGACAGTTGGATGTTGGTCTGAAATAAATTATAAATCAGCCAAGAACCATCAACAAACTGGCTGCCATATTATTTTTTAAGATCATACTCCAAACAAAATGCATCTCTCATTTAAAAGACTCCGTACACCAACATTTGAAAGGCTTCACTGGTAGCAGCTATAATAAATACAGTGATCCCTCGGTTAACGAGCGTCTCGGTTAACGAGATTTCGGTTAACGAATTACCTTCCATAAGATTCTTCACTTTGGTTAACGAGCAATCCCTCGATTACGAGCGCTCCTCAACATGTTTTCGCTTGCTCACTAGCTGTCGTATTAGTCCGCCAACACAGTAATCGGTTCTAGGGCTCAAATTCCTTACTATTTTAGTAAATATCAAGAAGTTTGTACTATTCAATAATATTAAAAGTCTTATATTAAACTTTTTAGTCATTTTAACAATTACTTAACATAATTGAAGCACAGGGAAACTAGTTTTTAGCGCGCCAAACAGCCTGTCAACACACCAAACAGGCGTCAGTCTCTGTGTCTTTTCAGTGGAGGTAACATCTTGCTTTAGACTCTCTTCAACATAAACGATTTTTTCCGTTTTTACAGTGAAATTATTGGTCATTTTGAAATTTATTTTACATATGGATGATACAGTAGAAGTCCAAAAATCCGGACTGCTTGGGGATTGGGTCGGTCCGGATTTTCGGATTTTCCGGATTCTCAGGCAGTACTTTTAAAATTAAAATTTAAGGAGGAATAAAGAAGAGATGAACAGGTACATTTTGATAGTTTATTCATTAGCAAATATTGCATGCTTCATTTATCAAAACGAGCAGTTTTAATGAAAAAACTGTGAATTCTAGAATTTTATTCTTTGCCTTTTTTATATCATAAATTGTAGACTTTCCAATGTCGTATGTTTCCATTAGAACAGTATTGCTCACACCATGTACTAGTTTCTTAATTATTTCAAGTTTGTCACTCAATTTCAACGTGTTCTTTCTCTTCACACAACGAAGTTTATCTACTTTAGGAGCCATTATTATGGGCTTGTACAGTAATCTGTAAATGGAAAGAGTAGGACTCAAAATATTGTTATATTACAATGGTATTCTATTCATACTGTGCTTGATATAATGCATTCACGGAAATGTAATATTTTTGCTAAAATGACGTACGTATTACAGTGGAAAGTGGGATCAAATCGTGACGAAAACAATGACTTTCGCTTTCTTTCGTTCAAAAGATGTTACCGTAATCACTTTTCGAATGGTTTAGTTAAAAAGCTGTTGTACTGTATTACAATAATATTCTATCCTAATTGACTTGAATAAATACTACGATACCATATTTCTGAATATTTTCATTAAAATCCATCAAAATCATTTTCTTTGTCATCGTCTGCAGCACCAAACAGCTTCTCCCAGTCCTCTCCTTGAACAGGGCTAGAGGGTACGTGTTTTTCGAATCGTTTTCAGTTAAAAAACTATTACATCACACGTATATTTTACCTAAACTGCGCCCGAATGAATATATTCTCGGAAATAAATAGTAGTTTTGCTGAAACGTGATGTATTTCAATGTAAAATAGGATAAAATACATGACGAAAACAAAAGACTTTACCTAAGTTTCTGTTCTTGAGATGTTACTCGTTTTTTTAATAGTTTTCGGTTAAAATTCTGTTATATTACAATGATATTCTATTCATACTGTGCTTGATATAATACATTCACGGAAATGTAATATTTTTGCTGAAATTACGTACGTATTAAAGTGGAAAGTGGGATAAAATCGTGACAAAAACAATGACTTTCGCTTTCTTTCGTTCAAAAGTTGTTACCGTAATCGCTTTTCGAATGGTTTAGTTAAAAACTGTTGTATTACAATAATATTCCCTCCTAACTGACTTGAATAAATACTTGAATGGAAATATACAATATTTTTGTTGAAACTACCTGCGTTTCAGTGTAAAGTGTCGTAATAATAAATGGTAAACAATTTGCCTTCGACACTCGTGTTTCATGCACGGCGAGCCTCAGTTTATAGGACGTAGAGCGTTTTTAGTGAAGGTTTTGTTGTTCCATTACCCTCAAAAACGTGGGTCGAACTATAACCGAGGAATATCGTAAATTAACGATTTCTTGGTCAAAAAATCAGGATCGACCTATAAACAAGGGGGGTTATAGACGAGTATATATATATATATATATATATATATATATATATATATATATATATATATATATATATATATATATATATATATATATATATATATATATATATATATATATATATACATACACACATATACATACATACAGTAATCCCTCGGTTAACGAATTACCTTCTATAAGATTCTTTCTTCACTTCGGTTGACGAGCAATCCCTCGATTAACGAATTTCTTACGGGCACCCCTCAACATGTTTTCGCTTGCAAACTAGCTGTCGTATTAGTCCGCCAATACAGTAATTGGTTCTAGGGCTTAAATTCCTTACTATTTTAGTAAATATCAAGAAGTTTGTACTATTCGATAATTTTAAAAGTCTTATATTAAAATTTTTAGTCATTTTAACAATTATTTAACATAATTGAATACAGGGAAACTAGTTTTTAGCGTGCCAAACAACCTGTCAACACACCAAGCAGGCATCAGTCTCTGTGTCTTTTCAGTGGAGGTAACATCTTGCTTCAGACTCTCTTCAACATAAACGATTTTTTCCTTTTTTACAGTGAAATTATTGGTCATTTTGAAATTTATTTTACATATTGATGATATATAGTGCAGTGCAGTGTTGATTTAAAGAAAATATTCTTTATTTATAGCAATTAAACTTAAAATATCACGTGTTGAAATTGTTTTTGAATCCAGCATGGGTCCCAAGAAATCAAGAAAAGCGATTTCAATCCACGTGAAACAGGAAATTATTAAGAAACATGAAAAAGGCATTAGAACAAATGTGCTTAGCAAAGAATATGGCATGTCGACATCAACTGTGTCGACAATTCTTGCACAGAAAGACAAATTCAAGGAAGTGAAAGTGAGAGACAAATCTACCAGAGTGTTTAAAGGTAGATCCCTAATAGCAGAAACAGAGAGGTAACTTCTCATTTGGATTAGGGAAAAACAAATGAAAGGTGATTCAGTTCCGATCTAATATATTTGTGAAAGAGCCAGGGAGATTTACGAACATTTAAAGACAGATCAACCTGGTTCTTCAGGCACAGAATTTGAAGAGTCTAGGGCCAGCAAGGGCTGGTTCGAAAAATTTAAGAAAAGAAGTGACATTTTTAGTGTAGTTAGGCATGGTGAGGCTGCTAGTGCTGATAAGGAAGGAGCAGCAAAATTTTTAGTGGAGTTTAAAGAACTGATGGATGAAAAAAATTCTCTTCCACAGCAAATGTTCAATGTGGACAAAACTGGGCTGTTCTGGAAAAAAATGCCCAAAAGGACATTCATCACCAGAGATGAAGCCTCTACCTGGGCATAAACTCACTACAACAAAAAGTGGTTAGAGGACGGTTTGGAGTTTATTGGAAGTCCAACCGTAAGGCATGGGTAACAAGACAGCTCTTTAATGAATGGGCTGTTGAGGTGTTTTGCCCTTCTGTGAAGAGCTACCTAACCACCAATAAACTCCCTTTAAAGGCTCTTCTCCTCATGGATAATGCCCCTGGTCATGACCCTCAACTTGCCAGAACTTTGGAGTCTCAATTTGACTTTGTCAAAGTGTTGTTTTTGCCTCCCAACACTACATCAATCATACAGCCAATGGACCAGAATGTGATCAGCAACTTTAAGAAGCTGTACATGAAAATTTTCAGGTGTCATCAGGCAACTTCCACTGATCCTGAACTAACACTGGCACAGTTCTGGAAGACTCAATTTAACATCCTGGAGGCTGTAAAATTGATTGTGTCCTCATGGCAAGAAGTCTCCACTAGATCCCTCAATTCTGCATGGAAAGCACTGTGGCCATCAGTAGTCCATGATTTTGAGGGATTTCAGGAAGAAGCAGAGTTGGACCAGGAGATTGTGTCCATTGGTCAGTCATTGGGCCTTGAAGTGGAGGAGGATGATGTAGAAGAGCTTGTGATGTCTCATGAGCAGGAACTTACTCCTGAAGACTTGCAGCAACTGGATGAGATGTTAGAGGCTGACAGTGGTGAGGAGGAAAAGGAAAGTGATGACCATATGTCAACTTCAGATTTGAAAGATGTTGTTGACCACTGGGAGAAGTTCAGGAAACTGGCTTCAAGGCACCCAGATGTGGAAAAATCAGAACTAGCTTTGTGTAATGTTGAGGACACAGTGGTCTCCTTCTTCAAACATCAGTTAATGATGAGGAGGAGAGATGCCCCACAGACAAAAATTGACAGTTTCTTCACTAAAAGGCAGTGGGAACAACATGCTAGCCCTCAGCCTTCCACTTCAAGAAGGAGAGAGGATGTTCCTGCTGGAGAATCTGTCAGTTCAGAGGCTCCTGACATTTTCATGGAAGGTGACTCGCCTTCCAAGAAGCAGTAAAATGCTTCTCCTCCACCTCCACTTCCTTCTCTTCTTCCTTCTCCTCCTCCACCTCCCACTTCAAATTCACATCATCATCATCATCATCATCCAGGAGCCTTCTACATACACACCTCAAAGTAAGTGTACTTTACTACCTTTTTGTTGACTTTAGGCAATTTTCGGTGAGCTGGAACCAATTACCCAAAAACCCATTGTAACAATGGTTTCGGTTAACGAATTTTTCGGTTAACGAGCAACCTTTTGGAACGAATTGT